AACCGGAAGCAAGAAGGATGACTGGTCCTGGAAGAAAGCGGATTGTCCGGGGGAAAGCTTAATACTCCCGGATAGCGGACGGTATCAACGGAAAGCTTGTCTGCGCACGTACGGGTATAAATCTGAACCGGACCGGATCGACAAAAATTTTGTTTACAGCTGGACTTGTTGCTTGTTGGTAAATCCAGATTTATAGATCCCGTCTCGCACTGGTGTCTAACTCTTTCTCTCCGGAACGTCGCGCGTCGGACGTAAAACTTTCTCGTGAGAATCTCGAAGCGGGATCAGCAAAATTAAAAGTCACGCGCTTTGATGACAGACGTAATGAACCGGACGAGCCAAGCAAGAATCACGATCCGTCTGGCTGTTCCAGTGGAAGCTTCCTCTTAATATAGGACACCCTTAAATTCTCGTCTGCGAGAACGTGGCGCGGAGCACACTCACGACTAACGACCGGACGGGGTCTAAATCTTGATAAATAGCTGCAAAGATTGTTAACGTTCTACCATTACTTAGAGGAGCGGTCGAGTTCTCGCTGCTCCGAGGAAAGGAAAGAATTAGGGGTTGGGAAGCGATGGAAAGGAAGAAAAAGGGTTGGATGCCGTCCAGGCTTCGGGCTCTTCGTAGTTGAATGGTCGATCGCCAAAACGCTGGATCGTTTATGGGGTTCCGCCGCGAACGTTTTGTCGCTTGGATGATTGAAATGCTCCGGTCGCGACAGTCGACATAGACTTCTGGCATGGGTTCGTCGATAATAAATGTAGAATGCGTCTCGCGGGCATTTTCTCTTTCTCGTTTCCAACGCAGTTTAATTTACGAGCTCGTGTACTTTATCCGATATGTACATATGTACGTACGCACGTATAGAGCCAAGAACAAGAATGGTATTAAATTATACGATGAATATATTCTTATTCCTTTTTTAATTATTTTCATGTTCCAATTTCCTAATAGTTAGATTTAATGGAGTCTTTTAGTACTTACTCGTACAAATCTTTACTTGTTCAACATTTCCTTTATATAACAGAGTGCGAATGTATGTAAATGGGAATGGGAGAAGTTGTCCATTGTTCTGGTCTCGTTTGTAATCACTACCACGTAGCGAGAACTGTGGTTGGTATCGTTCCTAAAATCCAATCTTTGGAAACGGTACCAAGCGCAGAACTACAATTTAGTTTAGAATCTCTGTATCTTAAGTTGTACACTGCCCTTTCAAGAATTTAATGTACGTGCTAATGAATGTTACGTTGAATTAAAAAAAATGTGATTCAGTTTCACAGAAACAGAAGTCAAACGAACGGGAGTTAAAGCGAGACTTGGTCCGTTTGTAGGGAAACGGAAAACACGACCACATCTCTTTTGTTCTCCAATATAACTTTCATAAAGTTTAAGTCTAATCGAGCGCTATTCACGAACAGGACGCACGAATCGGTGTTAATTTTTCGTGTCCGTATAGTACTCGAACGTGAGACTCCAAGAGTTCACAAAATGAAAGGTCTATTCGTTATATCTCGTCTATGGCAAGACACAAAACTCCATTATACTCTTGTATCACGTCTGTGATATTACGGAGTTCTAGTCGACGGACGTATTTACTGGCGGACGTAATCGCGAGCCCAGCGCGCCGCTCACTTCTGCCAACGCGCAGCTACTTTCGCGATGTCGTCACGACAACAGTATTGCCCATTAACGCGAAATACGGCGCCTTCGTTACCGAGGAATGTTCACTTTCGAAATAAAGCTGTTAGACCGAGCGATACTGTGCTCCCACATCGGATCGGGTTCGCCGTTTATACGGTGTATGTAGACCGAGACGGATCCAATTGATTGTCCGATAGGAACGGAGTGTGAGATACGGATAATGCTATTCATATCGAAAACTGGCCCGAGAAGCCTTCATTAAAATTATGAGCACAAGAGACAAAGCTTTCCATGGAACACTCGATCAAAGTGGCCAACTTGTAAGTATTCGCGGTTCGATATTATACATATTGTACATTTAAATTCACGCATTTACCATGAAATGAACTTCCCGTTCAATAGAAAAATATCCTCCTTGACCCGGAAGTATTAATTACGCCGGTTCTCGTTCAATCGACATATTTTACCCCAGAGAAACGGAGCAATAAAATATAATGAAGGATTTCTTATAAACGCAAGAGCATATCAATTTTCCGATACTCGGTCAAAACGGAACGTACTGCGTAGTTGTATACTGATCTCTTCTCGTTGTTCGTTTAAAACACTCGACGTTTACACACAGATTGGTAACTATTTCTAAAAATAAATCAATGAAATCACTCACCCATAAACACGTCCTCATCGATCTCGTCGGCGTGCAGGTCGAGGTCAATATCGACCGCTCCGTTAGTAGGAGCCTGATGGCTCCTCTTCGCGAGGTCCATCAGCTCGCTTCGTGGATCCAGGTGGCCCGTGGCCAGAAGTTCGGCCAACAGGGTCAGGTAAGACGAGTTTAGTGAAGTTGGACTGGTAGCACGTAGACAGCCGGGTAACCAGAATCCAAGGAGGCCGTAGGGGACCACAGGCACCGCTCCGGTACTGACGAAGCCACCGTTCAGGAGTTCGCCGCACAACATAGGTGCAGCGATGACCTCACCTCCTCCCTCGTGACCTTGGCAACGCCTCTACCTCGAATGCCTGCATCAACAGATATCAGAGACCAGATTAATGCGTGGATCGTTGCCACGTCAGTCGCATGTGTTTCCAACATCCATGTCAATTTGATACGACTGATATGAAAACATGAATTATTACAATACATATTAAAATTAAATTATGTTTAAATTAAAATAAAAAAATAATCACTGATATTGTACGTGTAATTTCGCTAGAGCTTCAATCCTTTTTCCTAAGAATAGTATTTTACCCTCGTTCTCATTAGATCGAGTCTTTCGTACGAACTTTAAATCAAAGTGTAGACGAAAGGGAACGAGCACCGACGAACGATACCAGCCGTTTAAAGAAGAGGAACACGCGGAACGTGCATCGCGTTAAATTACCCTCGGTAACTTAAGGTCGTTACTCTTGCTCGATTCGACCGCGAAACCGAATACAACGCGCCGTGGCGAAAGGCGGTACGCGCCGTTGAGAACAAAACTTCGAGACAATCTGCATAACAAAAGAGTTGGCATAACACGCCGGACCGGTGGACTCGCGCCGCGGTTAGAACAATGCGATTCATGGGCTCACACAATTCTGCACAATTATCGGTAAACGCGCGCAAATTAATGCCATACGCACGACCGCCGCTCGGTGGTCACGAACACGTATGTGTGCCGGACCGTACGCAGATCGATGAAATATGAACCATTTTAGCATATATGTACACGGGCAATGGGCAATATTAATTCACAAGTGGATGTTCGTTCGACAGTTTTACTTGTAAAAATCAACCGATCGAGAACCGAACGCACCAGTGACGAAATTTGATCGAGGAGCACGCACGATCGAGCAAAAATTTTTGACTACCCTCCCTCGCCACGGTTGATACCGGGACGCGGCGACGACACGTGTTACGCTCGTAAAAATTTTTATCGACGAACTGGTTCTCGGAAAATTGAACCCACCGACATCGATTCATCGTTTTATTTCTCGGCCTGCATCAGAAAGTTTCTCCTCCGAGAAGAATCGCTCTCACGCGTGCACAGAGTTTACGGATACTTGCGAGAACAAGAATCGAGAGTAAACGCGGCCGATTCCGCACGGACTGACGTAAGTGGACTGCGACCGAAAGAAAACCAGATGCGATCCATTGGCAACGGGTGACATTCTTCTGGAGCCACAGAACCGAACACTCGTGCAGTCTCACTGATGTCATTACTGATTTGCGTGGGCGTGGATACAACGCCGGATGATCTCACGCACGGCGCACGGCGCGGCGCGCCGCATCAAGAATTATAATTGCGACATATAATTAGGCGAAACGAAGTGGGAATACACTCTTGGTACTCGTTTCTTTGAATAGATCCGATGAATCGTAACGGATCGGGTGCGAGGAACGCCTAGGGAAATGATCTGCCGCTAATTCGATCGCCTATGCACGGACATGTATCCGCCGTATACATATTTCATGGGAATTCGGATTACACTGCGAGAAATCGCTGTAGAGGTGCTCGAGTTCCGGAAATTCCTGATCGGAATTTCGAGCGTGTATAACAGGCATTGGCGTAGCATCGGGAAGATGCAGTATCCAGAACGATTGCCATTCATTTTTATTCTATCCTTTCGCGAGAAGTAAAGTTCCCGAAGCCTGACTAGATTCCCTATCGATTTTCCCCCGTTTCGCAGATTCGGTTCTGTTTCTCCATCGAAAATTTTTAACGCGAAAGTGATATCGCGTAAAACGTAAGAGTTTACGGAGAGCGCCAAGATTCTATCCTGCATCGGTACGAAAATTACAGAGGAAACAGAGGCGTAATGCAATGTACAGATTAGTAGACCAGAATATGCAGTCGATATTAAGCCGGAATATGGAGCCACGGGTTTCACGGTCATCTTCCGTTAACGTTACGCCGTACTAGAAACGATTATTCGTTTCGAACTCGGGGAGGGAGCGTTCGTTCCGAGCAACGGTGGTCGGAGATAGAGAATATTAGCAAGATGATTTAATTTTCCAGAAACACGTGCGCGCATCGCAGCTACGCTACTGCAAGATGGTAGATTCCAGGGCCGAACGAGCAACGACCTTTTACCGTGCACTATTTTCACGAAAAAGCACACTGCGCATAGGCGAACAAGCACGCGAACGGAATACTCTATCGACAACGACGTTGCAAAATCTACCCGGCGTTACTTGATGCACAACGAATTTACGAGTATTGTTCGATCAAATGTAGCAAGATAAAAATTTGTATGCAGCTTTATTTTTTATATCGACGTCCCTGGGACATGGCAACGATACCGCGCTTATGTGCCACTATCACTGCCATGCAAATTATCAGTCATGTGACTTTGTTCGCTCTTTTGTAGCCTACGTCTGAGATTATTGAGCCAGTTAATCATAGAGAGCATCCACATCACGATGTTCTCTATACTTTTGACGTTCATTGCGGGTGCGCTGATACTTCTGATTTTTTATTTGCTCGTACGATTTACCTACTGGAAGAGAAACGGTATTCCAACCGCCAGAGGATGCTATCCGTTTTTCGGTCACATGTTACCTGTTCTGACGTTAAATACGAGTATGTCCGACGTGGTCCGGAAGGTATACGACGATTACCAAAATTGTAGTATGGTTGGCATTTACAAAGTAACGCAACCGGCATTGATTATTCGGGATCCAAATTTGATAAGGAGCGTGTTGATAAGTAACGTCTCAAGCTTCCACAAGAACGCGATGGAATCTAACCCAAACGTCGACTCCTTGATAAACAACCATCCTTTTTTTAATGACGGGGAAGTGTGGCTTACGGGAAGGAAACACTTGACCTATGCGTTTAGTGGATCGAGGTTGAGAAATTTATTCATAGCAATCAGTGGTGTGTGCAAAAAATTTCAGCGTTTTATAGACCGTCAACTAGAGAAGGATAATAAGTACGACGTCGAATTTAAGTACTTGTTCACCAAATTCACGGGTGAAGTTGTGGCGAACGCTGGTTTGGGTATAGAGGGACGTTGCTTCGAGGACGAGGACCATCCGACCGCATTCGATCAGATCGGTCGCGCAGTGTTTAAAACATCACTTTTCGACAGATTTGTAATACTAGTCCTCACCCTGTTTCCCAAACTAAATCGCCTAATGAAAATCGATGTCGTGCCGAAGGATGTGGATCAGCTGTTTAGGGGAATTGTTGACGAGTATTTAAGTATGAAAGAAAAGGAGTCGACACCGAGATTCGACTTCCTTCATTTGATGATGGAGCTCGAGAAGACAGGCGAGAAGGTGGATAAAAACGCTCTGGCATCACATGCGTTTACATTCTACGCTGACGGATTGGAAACGTCGAGCATTACGCTTAGTTACGTTGGATATCAACTGGCTGTTCATCAGGACGTTCAGAAAAAATTGCGGGACGAAGTAAAGTCCATGATCGAGAAACACGGTGAATTAACGTACGATGCATTGGCAGAGATGAAATACATGGAGCAGGTGATTAACGAATCTCAAAGATGTTATCCGGCTGCGGATATGTTACAAAAATCGTGCACGAAAGAATGCGTACTCGAAGGACCGGATGGACTGAGTTGTCGAGTTAAACCAGACACTCACATCATTCTGCCTTTAGGCAGTCTGCAGAGTGATTCCAAGTACTGGCCCGATCCGCAAACATTCGATCCGGAACGATTTAACCCCGAGAGAAAACAGACTATTGAAAAAATGGCGTTCCTACCCTTCGGTGATGGTCCAAGGATGTGCGTGGGCATGAGACTCGCTATGCTGCAGATGAAAGCTTGTTTGGCTACTTTGGTTAATAATTATAAATTAGAATTATCTCCGAAAACAAAACTACCGTTCAAAACAATAACAGTTTTCGAATTAATATTGCCAGTCGGGCTTCGGGTGCAAATTTCAAAACTTTGACAAGTATTGGAGAATTTCTGAAAATATACATATAGATCTGTACACTTGGACAATACATGAAAATCTCGTTATTGTTCATTTTCTTTTCGCTAATCAATAGTACAGTAATTGCTATTAACTGCGTATCATTCGGTTAATGAATGAGGAACAAACTTCGTTTAGACAGACTTGCAACGATAATATATAAACCCCCTTCTTAACTTTTTTGCCAGTAAATGATACTATTGCACTCTACTGTTAATCAATAGATCGCATTCAAGATTTTTCTGGTAGAGTTAGCTGACGCGTTAGCTGTATGACAGACTTGACATAGTACAGTTCTACAGGAGAGCAACGTGGCAAGTACACTCCTTACCTTCGTCGCAGGTGCATTATTAGGCATCTCAAACTTGCCCATTTTTTTACCGTTTCATGAAAAGGTCAATTTTTTGGGAGATAAAGAATAGAATATGCTATTAGCTTAGACTTTATCATTGGCGACCTTCAGTTTCAATAGACGTTGAAACGACGATTGTATATTGAGCAAGACAATTTTATTTTCAAATTAGTAGGGAAAGTTGATAAAGATAGATGCGAGTGTCAACTGTATCAATTGCAGTACACATGTAATGACTCGTCATTTTGTAGTACATGTAATAAATAACGAGGTATGACAAGTTATCGTACGTTTTTTTAACTCGTAAGAATAAAATCAAAATAACGAGCACTGTGATATTCGCGAACTTTTTGGATAAAAACAAATACGAAATGAATAAATGAATAAGACACACTATTAAGCATAATTATACATTATCCTATACCTATACCTACTGCAATTCCAAATCTCCGTATAAGAATCAAGCCATCTTTGTTCTAATCAATTTCTTTATTGAACGTCTTTGAACTGTGAATCGAGACCTTGAACGTAGAATCAGCCGAGTAATTTACATTGGTCTACATGCGTAAACTGCGCAGTAACTACTATTAAACATACGACTCGTCTGCATGTCCCGATCCTCCCTACTACGAATTCCCATTGGTACCGACAGATCATTTCTATCATATAAAATTCAACGCGAAATCGCTGGTGACTGTTTCGAAAAACGCCGACAATACATCGTTCTAAGCATTATTATTTTTAAAATCTGTTCGGCAACGTGAATATTTAACCGTGCCAGTATATTTATTACGACCTGAAGAATAACATACTACAATTTTATTACGATCTGCATTGTCTTATATTTCAATAAAAACACCTTAAAAAGTTTCCATGCTGCTCAGTGCCACAACTACTACAATCTATTTAAGCGTACTTCAATACATATTACGTAATTATATAATATAACAATCAACGACGAGCAAAGTGTAGTGAGTAGTGATAAAACGAGGAGTGATATCAGATATATTTTTGCTTTGCACGCCTATGTGTTCGATGATACATTGTAAATTATTACGGCATTTAGGAGAGGAGAGTAGTAGGGTTACTCAGTTACTTATCAATCGTGTCAGTTATATGACAGACGTGCTGTGGTAGAGATCTAACTAAATCCAAAATGGCATGTATACTTTTAACACTTATCGCGGGTGCCGTAATATTATTGTGCCTGTATTTGTACCTAACGTATACCTATTGGAAAAGAAATGGAATTCCAACAGCTAAAGGATTTTACCCGTTGGTTGGCCACTTGTTACCCGTAATAAAATTCAAAGAAGGTTTCAGTCATGTAGTGCAGAAGGTGTACCGTGATTTCGAACATTCGAGTATGGTTGGAATTTACAAAGGATTAAGACCGGCGCTAATTATTCGCGAACCGCATTTAGTAAAGACGGTGTTACATACTAATTTCTCAAGCTTCCAGGAGAACGGAAGCAAAATTGAAAAGGATGTGGACACTCTCTTGGCAAATAATCCATTCTTCACTGAAGGTGAAGAATGGGCTACTGGAAGAAAACGGTTAACCTACGCGTTCACCAGCTCCAGACTGAAATCTCTTTTCCTAACTGTCAACGGAGTTTGCAAAAAATTGCAAAATTTTCTGGACCGACGATTAAGTTCAGACAACAAATACGAAGTTGAAATGCAGTATCTATTCTCGAAATTTACGGGCGAAGTAGTGGCGAACGCTGGTTTGGGCATCGAGGGACGTTGCTTCGAAAATGATGACGATCCTACTGCGTTCGATAAGATCGGCCAGTCACTCGTAAATCCAACTCTGTTTGAAAAAGTACTGCAGCAATTCATGTTTCTGTTCCCCGATTTTAATCGCTTAGCGAAGATCGGTATGGTGTCGAAGGAAATGGATCAAATGTTCAGAAAGATAGTCACGGAAAATTTTGTGGTCAGGCAAAAAGAAGGTACACCCAGGAACGACTTCCTGCAATTGATGATGGACCTCGAAAAGACAGAGGAGAAATTGGACTTCGAAGCCGTTGCTACACACGCGTTTTCGTTTTACGCTGATGGATTCATAACATCAAGTATTACGCTCAGCTACATTGGATATGAACTGGCTCTCCACCAAGATGTTCAACAAAAATTAAGGGAAGAAGTGATGTCTGTTATCCAGAAATATGGAAACGAATTAACATACGAGGGATTAAAAGAGATGACTTACATGGAACAAGTGATCAGCGAATCGCAGAGGTGTAATCCGGTACTGGGTGCTATGGTCAAAGTATGTACGGAAGCGTTCACGTTAGAAGGATCGGATGGATTGAAATGTCGAGTGAAACCAGGAACTTTGATTGTTGTACCGGTTAGTGGATTGCAACATGATCCGAAATATTGGCCTGATCCAGATACGTTCGATCCGGATCGATTTAATGAAGATAGAAAAGGCAGCATAGAAAAATATACGTTCCTACCATTTGGTGAAGGACCAAGGATGTGCGTGGGTATGAGAATAGCTATGACACAGATGAAAGCATGTTTGGCTACTTTGATGAAAAATTACAAACTGGAATTGTCACCAAAAACACAAATTCCATTGAAGACTACATCAATTTTGATGCTAACGTCGCCAGTAGATAATGTCTGGGTGAATATTTCTAAAATTTAACTAGTAGTATCGACAGTACTAAAAAAATAAATATCGTTTATACTATGTATTAAGATTTGCTAGGACATATCACTTATTAACCGGAGTCATCAGATTATCTTCAATTCCATCACTCCCTACCTTCCTTATCAATAGGAGGGCAGATATGCATTGAATGTAAAGCAGCGCAAATGTTTTATTGTTAAGTTGGTAGAGAGAGTTAATAAAAATATTGTAATTATGGAATTTAGCGGTTGTTAATTTTGGACTAATGGATGGTATTGACACTTATTACACAGATATGATCTTTAAATGTAAATACATAAAAGATTTTCTCCTGCATCATGTATCGATGAATCATGCCCCGACAAATTATTCTTTTTATATTAATGCCAATAAATCTTTGAATTTATCAGCCAATTGATCCTTTGACTTATACTTTTGTTTTCAATGTCACCGCTCAATGCAACAGCTATCTGGTACAATTTATAAGTAGATACACATGTTTGTGCTCCCAGTAGTACGTGTCTTCTACTACTCAGGAGATAACGTCATCCGAGTACAAATATAGATACGGCAGTTCCACTCTACTGCTCTACTCCAGTCGAACTGCGCACGTAGTAGCAGTAGCAGCATAGGCAATCAGTCGCTTAAGTCGAAAATGATATGTACCGTGTTTATACTTTTATCGGTTACGTTAGCGTTATTCTTGTATTTGAAATCCACATATTGGAAAAGGAATAATATTCCAACGGCCAAAGGATGCTACCCGATCGTTGGCCACTTGCTACCCGTGTTAGCCATGCAAAAAACTGTTGGCGTACTGATTCGAGAAATATACAATGAATACAAGGATTGCAGCATGGTTGGATTTTACAAGGGATTAGTGCCGTCATTAGTTATCCGCGATCCGAACTTGGTGAAATCCGTGATACAAACTAATTTCTCGAGCTTTAATATGAACGGACTCCATAGTCAAAAAGACGTGGATCACCTGTTAGCTCATCATCCATTTTTCACCGTTGGGGAAGAATGGTCAAATGGAAGGAAGCGATTGACGTATGCGTTTACCAGTGGGAAGTTAAAAATACTTTTCGTGACTATTGCCGGAGTGTGCAAAAAATTCCAAGATTTCTTGGACAGGCGGCTGAGCTCGAACGACAAGTACGAAGTCGAACTGAAATATCTGTTCTCAAAATTTACTGGCGAAGTTGCGGCGAACGCTAGTATGGGCATCGAAGGGCGCTGTTTCGGGGACGTAGATGATCCTCTTGCGTTCGATCAGATCGGCCAGAGTATCTTTAAACCTAATTTCTTCACTAGATTTATATTTATCTTTATAGGCTTATTTCCCAGTCTGAATCGTTTCACGAAGATCAAGATCGTGAACGAGGAATTGGAACAAACGTTCAGAACGCTGGTTAAGGAAAATTTGGAGCACAGGCGAAAGGAATCAACGCCCAGGCACGATTTTCTCGAATTAATGGTGTCCCTCGAGAGAGAGGAAGGAAAACAGCTGCCATTGGACGCTCTCACTGCTTATTCATTCTCGTTTTACGCCGACGGGTTCCAAACATCAAGCGTTACCCTCAGTTTCATTGGATTTCAACTGGCTATGCATCAGGATGTTCAAGAAAGACTACGAGAAGAAGTGAAGTCTGTCATGGAAAAACACGGAGATGTGTTAACGTACGAATCGTTGAAAGAGATGACTTATATGGACCAAGTAATTAGTGAATCGCAAAGATGTTACTCGACACTGAGTATCATGATCAAAGTATGTACACAAGAGTGCACGTTGGAAGGATCGGACGGACTTAAATGTCGCGTGAAACCTGGCACCGAAATTGTCATACCCATTTATGGACTGCATGAGGACCCGAGGTATTGGTCCGATCCGGAGACCTTTGATCCAGATCGATTCAGTGGGGAGAGGAAGCACGAGATTAAAAAAATGACGTTCCTCCCATTCAGCGAGGGTCCAAGGATGTGCGTGGGAATGAGAATGGCACTGTTACAAATGAAGTCTTGCTTGGCTACTTTGGTCAAAGGCTATAAATTGGAATTGTCGCCTAAAACGAAACTGCCTTTAAAACTGGTGCCGCTCGTTTTTCTTTCAGAAGCAGAAGGCGGACTTTGGGTATATGTGTCAAAACTTTGAAAACAGTTATGTATGCAATATTATAGGAATTATGGATGTTATTACGTTATCTGTACGAAGTCTTCTTTACTTATTGCATAACGAATTGGAAACGTAGAAAACATTGCTATCTCACTAGCAAATAATAGTTACGATAGAACAACGAAATCAGTGATAACGTAAAAAACAACTGAAGTTTTCAATGTCATATTTGTTACATACCAATAATGTTATCAAGTACAAAGATCAATACGGAATATGATGCATCGTATAATAAATTCGTTTAATAACGTCGTTATCAAAGATGAATGAACCTTACTGCCTGCACGTAAATTTAAACAACATTACAATTTATCATCCACCTATAATACACACACACTCGGTACGTTGAATTTAATAAAAACATGTGAAACACATTCACTCGGTTTTTTATACCCGAGTTTTAATAAATTCGTTAATCGTTTAATGAAGCCAGATATGACCATACGTGCGTCCGTAATAATTACGTCACGGAAAACCGCAATTTTCATTTCCGTTTCGTACAACACTAACATGATCATGATATGTATAATGTTCATCAATTCATAAAAAAATCACAACGCTAGTAAATATTTTATTTTCGAGATAACGAGTAACGAAATAAATTTTTTTCTTCACAAAAATACAATATTGACGTTAGTAACAATGTAGAACAGTGACGGGAAATAACGGTTGCTCGCGATCGAAGCGTAGAAAATTGATAAACGCGCGAGTTGGACGCGCCGGATCGATAGCGTTGGTTGAAACTTACGCAGCAGAAACTTATCGGTGCCCGTGTTCCTTTTTCCACGATCGCACGCGATTCAGGTAACGTTCATGATCGCTGTATTACGCTATAACCGGTACGAATGAATCATGTCTAGCTAGGAAAACCACGATACCAGCACTGAGAACTTTGCAGATAACGGGGAACCAGAAGGGGTTGAAGGAAGCCATCAACCAGGAGCGGCAGACGAACAGGCGCCACGACCACCCTCTCTCTCTTTCTCTCTCTCCTGCCCGCCCCTTTTTCACTGGCTTGTCCAAAACTGGAATAACCCCTTGCTCAGTCGCGGAGCACGAAACGTATGAGCCACGGGCACGAGATATTCGCTCTACCTTCGTGCCCATTCATAAAACAACCTTAAACGCCGCTTTTAACCGCTAAATACGCCGTGATTTATAACGGTATCCGCCAACGACGTTCACTAGATGATTTCACGGATCGTTAAGCCGGGCAAGAAAGACGGCTCTAGACAACGTTCGCAGTATAATACTTATTTTGATAAACTCCAGCTACAGCCGGCAGGGGTTATTTTCATACCGCGATTATTGCTCGTTTTCCGGGCATCGAATTTTCCCCATCCATCACGCGGTGCACTATCCAAACAAGCATAACCGACAAATTTTGCGTCCCAATTTCCTGCCAGCTACCCGTCCCCTCGAGCGTCGCGCGGCCAACCCCGGAGGGCAGGAGAATTTTCAAACTCGCCCATCCCGTTTGTTTGCATCTACGAATTTCAACTCCATCCCCCCACCGTACATCGTTCGATTTCCGTTGGGCCATTGAACCCTCGCGCGTCCACAAAATAGACGAAGTTCGCCCTGGTCGATAGACATATAAACGAGCCGCGAGTTACTTAGTTCTTGCGAGTTCACGGAATCCCGCTGGATCGTTTCCACCCACTTCCCCCTGACCCGCGTCTGGGTAAACATCGTTGACGCGTCGTTACCAGCTCCAATCTCGGGTGTGCCCGCGAAAATCCGACGGGACTCGATATCACCTGGCGGAAAATCGTGACGTCGTTGAACCGAACCGTCGACGACGCTTATGTATGGTGAGCTCGAACCCGATATCGCGACGTCGCAATCCCTTCGCACTGGTCCGCCCTTAGGATAGATTTTCTCCAAGTCTGATAACCCGTTCCGAGATCCCTGGAGATGTGCGCGCGAGAGAAGACGGTACAGAAATATCAATCAGAGCAGGATCAGAAACGCGATGGTAAAATATTAACATAGATTACGCGTATATGATAGATCGCGTTTCGTTCGCGGGCTTGAGTTGCAAATTGGATCCCGCGATTCGCGAGGTGTCGGATAGAGGCGACAAAGAGAGGGTTGATTAGAAAGTTGAGCGAAAATTTTTATCTGTCTGCACGCCCTGTTGAAGAGCGAGCCCAGTCGACTCGATAAGAGGCGAATGTCATTTGCTCCCCCTAACTCGAAATGAGGAGCGATATCTTCTAAATCGAGAACGAGTCTCACTCCGACAAGAATCTCGTCATTAAGATTTTTGATTTGAATGCAAATAGGCTGCCAGTTCACGGTACCGTCCTCTCCTCTCCTCTACCGTTCCATCTCCTCGGGGATATTTCGGGCCGTAAATGAAAATAGAGCTCGTTTTCGAAAACAGGCGAGGGACTCGGAATATCACGAATTTCTATAATCAATTTCGTGAAGAACGATAAAACTATTTTCTCAACACATTTTGCTTCGTTTTCTCATCGTCACGATACAACGTATCGCGCTCTTCCAGGCGAATTGAGATTTCAGGTTCCTCCTCCTTCTCCTCAGGAGAACCTTTCGGATCAAGGAACACGCGTTCGGGCCGAGAAATGGATTTCGCCGTGCGCAACGAGCTGGCGGCGGCCAGGTAAGGTGACTCATAATTTACTGGTTTCTGCTTGTTACACCGGTCGCACTACGCCCTGTCGCCGTCCCGGCGTACCTCGTAAAGACGACAAACTCGACGTAATTTTATCCCGTCTGGCCGCGCCTATATATGTACATACTCGCACACCACCCCCGTTCTTCGACGAAATGAAATTTTACTTCGCGATGGTTATCTAGCTCGGTCCGCAGTTTTTTCCCGCACTAACAAACCGATGGGTCACCCTAACTCGCGACCGCGATTTCGTCTTTCTTTCAGTTTAACCCGAGCTAAAGCTACGTTCACCCAGCCTGCGTTAACGAGAGATGGACACCCCAACTTTATTTTTACGCGTAAACAGAATAGATAGGTTTAAATCTTGGGACACGAAGCTGGATGTAGGTGGGTGTAGTTTTTTTTAGATACGCGACAACGAATCACGTGTTCGAACTCCATACTGGCTAGACAGCAGTCGTTGAAAACGATATTCATGAGTAGTAGAAAATTAATATGGACAATAACGGAGCGGTCGCGGGAGGGTATCGCGTTTCGATCCAACAACAGCCGATTACGTAGAAATGGGTTTTGATACCGCGATAGCTCGGCAATAGGATTTACTAGTGAGTCGAGGTTATCCTCACGGAAGGAGAATTTACATGAGGATTTACACGGTTTGCCATTGACGGCGAGGCGAGGGACGTCTCGGTGCCCCTGCTATTTTCGAATATATTTCACGTGTCGTTAAGCAGACAATTTTGTAGAATGTTCTACTGTTTAAATATTTCATTGTTCGAGGATCGTCGACGATGGCTTTTAATTGAGAGGGCATTTTCCATGCGCTTTATACGTACCCGTATAATTACGTTCATTAAATTCGTCCTGCCTTTCGCAGGCGAACGAGCCCAGTTTGCTATTTTAATTAAAAGTTTTGCGTTTAGTAGTTGCATTCTGTAGGCATTTAAAGTGCGACTTCAAACTCGAGCGATGAGGTGAACTAGCAGGTGAACCCGCTGGAGTGGACAGGGCAGCGGGTTGATTGATCGCGTGCCAGGTTCCAGCCAACCTGGCGCCAGCGCAGAGTCTCTCAACCTGGCGCCAGTCAGGTATAACGCCCCCGCGATCTGTCCTCGGTTTCATATCTACACGACATTCGGACATAAATTCGCTGACTCGTAATTTCCACGAATGATCCATAAATAATAAGCACGCTCAGGCGTGCGGGAGCGTTCGTACAGAATAACAAATACATTGAAATCACCGTGTAGGTTACGCACTGCGTGCGAGAAATAAATTTCAATAAAATTACATTATGAATAAATATTCCCCTCTCGACTCTCTGCTGCACATGTACATCCATTACAACGAAGGGAGGTTGAATAGATTCTCAAACACGTTTCCTCTCTTTTACTTCTACGCGATGGATAAGCAAAACAGATCGATAAAGAAACGAAGAGCGCGGTCTTCAAGCGATGCCTGAAAGCCCCCCGCGGTAAGTACAAATCAGAGATCTGTCTGTCTGACTCCAACCCCCCAACCCTCTCCTGTCAGTCAGTTATTCACTCTGTCTCTTTCCCATTCCACGGATTCTCCCACCCATATGGACCTTTTATTTGATCGACGAGTGACGTTATCGTGGGTAATATTGGAAAGAGAGTCGACCTCACCGCTTCCGCGCGATCTGGCTCGCTCCATCAAACATTCATGCCGTCGGCCGCGAGTTCGTGTTGCCGTTCCGTGAAAATGTGCCTGATAAAATGCGCTGACCCTTCCCTTCCGCCAAGCCCCCGCGCCGTGCTCTTTTGTGTACGATATGACGACGCCAGCCGACGCTAATATTCCTCAGCACGGCTTCCACTTCCGCGGAGCTACTTTTTGAAAATCGTTCCGCCCGATTCCAATCCCCGTGCAACGGCGGAAATATTTTCATCCGTCTCTCGCGTCGATCGCGTCCGAATGCGAATCGATCAGCGGAAACGTTTTGATCAACCGCGAATTCTAAACCACGATCAATTTCGGAGCAGCGGAGAGGACTTGTTGCGAGAACGAGCCACTCGAAAGAAGATGACCTGGGTGTAATTTTAAGAAGCGTGAGCGATAGGCAGAGGGAACTCGTGTGAGTGAGAGCGAAAGAGAAGACGCAGCGAAAAGAGGGTGGACAAGAAGAGAGACTTCTGAATGCAAAGAGAGGAGAGTGAACTCTAGACCACTTCGTCACACTCGAGGGAAGATAGAGAGGGTACGGCAGCTTGTTCTAGTTTACGGTTCTGAGAACGAACGTACAGAAAACTCAGCTACCGTGCGTCCCACGTGGCTAAGAGGCCAACCCGAAATTGTCACAGAACTCTCTACCGAATTTCGTATCAAAACAAATCCCAAAAGGTGAACCGTGCCTTCTTCGTCCGAGATATCACCGAGTAGAGCATATTTGCTTTGACGTCTCGTTTTTATATTTTCGCATTATTTCTTACTCTTTGACATCCCCTTTTGTAACGTCAAACACGTGAACTTGACGACTTCTGATATCTCGAGTTCTTCACTCTTTTAAGTTGAACATAACAAGATACGATATCTGTGAAGATATAATATAACGTATAATAGTGAGTAAATAAGTGACTTCGCTACTTTAAGAGACAAGCAAAGAAATAAACTCGATAGGCTACTTCATTCCGTATAGCTATGATTTATCTTATCATTTCATTAATAACATCAAATTAATATTAGAAGTTATCACGATAATAAAATATTATAAACAACATATTATATCATCATGACTTACACAATTTTAGATACGGATTATTTTGTCAAGTCACTCCTGTGAATCGAATCGCTAATAAAAACAAGCTGTCACTGAAGAATTAAAAGCGAAACTCTGATGATGATAGACTGACAGGATACTTTTTATCGAACTTTATATATTTTTACATCAATCACTGAAATTGAAGTGCAGAGAATATGCATTTGACTATGAATTCTCTCTTTCTTTTCTTCCTATGCAAAATCGAACGCCATTTGCGATCCTTCCATTTACTTTAGTTTCTAAATTCGTTTCATATCGCTTGTTCCATTGCAAATTATCAATTAACCACAGTACGAAAGTTTAAGGATGTATTGGCTATACAGTCAATCCCAAAAGTTTATGCACTTTAGAAACGCATTTTTTAAAAAGAAATCAGACGTCGGAAGAATATTGCTAATAATAAACAACAAAAAAAAATTTTCGATTTTTCCGAGATTTTTCCAAGGGGTACCCCTTCA